ATACACTATTTCAAGGAATTATTATAGTTACATAGTTGGTAAGGGTGAATAAAGACACCGGTCCATCCAGTTCAACCTATGTGGGTGTGTGTGTGTATGTGTGTATTCATGTCAAAAACATTGCCCATATCCCTGATCCCTGTATATTGTGTTTGTCAAGATACCTGTCCAAGGGTTTTTTAAAACTATCAATGCTTCCTGCTCACACCACCAATTGTGGAAGTGAGTTCCACATTCTTACTGCCCTGACAGTGAAAAACGCCTTACACAGTTTAAGCTTAAACCGCTTCTCTTCCAATCTCATTGAGTGGCCCTGTGTCTTATTACACTCCTTGAGACTGAATACTTTATTCCCTATGCTAGAATCACCATTAAGATACTTGTATATTGCTATCATATCCCCTCTCAAGCGTCTCTTCTCCAGGGAGAATAAGTTTAGTGTTGGTAATCGTTCTTCATAACTGAGGTCCTCCAGTCCCCCTATTAACTTTGTTGCCCTTCTCTGAACTTTCTCCAGTTCCCACACCATAGTGATTTGTTGCCAAAATTTCAGCAAAGTGGATATTTTCACTTTCACTCATTCTTATTGTAAACAAGATTTATAGCATTTCCACTTAAAAAAAAACATTATGCTGTAGGATTCTTCAAAGCTTCAGCAAAACTTACATTTTTATACTCATTTTTAAAATATGTTTCCAGTGAAGGAATATTTTTCTTTTAATTTCTCAAAGAGAAATTGAGTCAATGTGACTTTTCATTTAGAGTTTGCACATATGTCAGAGTTGAAACCTCAGAAAACCTAACCATAGCAACAGTACTATTTGAAATGCATTTTAAAAGAAACCAATATTTTCAGCTTGTTCCAGATATTGGTTATCTCCTTTACAAGTTATTGACCCAAGATGACATGGTTTTATCATAGCTCTCTACAAATCTATGACATAGCACTCAAGACTTCTCCTTCTATTATTTCTAGGCCACTACACCAATATTAGGCTAGGAAATGGACGTCAACAAACTATATAATAAAAATTGTTTAATCTACTATACCATACATAGCAACATTTACAGTTCATCGAATCAGAAATAAGATACAAAGTGCTTTCCTGATATCTTTCAAAGTGACATCTTGGAAGAAGGAATATTTTTGGTATGAAAATAGCATGGACATTAACTATTTTTTTACACAGGATTATACATAGTTACAAAAAATGACATGTGTGCTGCAGAACATAAAAGAGATAGATAGAATCGATAATGAACGTACAGTAGTTTGGAGATTTTGAAGTGTTTGGGAGGGAAGAAATCTCCAACCCAGTGTCCAGGTGTTGCTGAAATCCAGCAGGGTGTGTGTCTAGGTGTTCATATCCCTTATAATGATAGGATTGGGCATAGCTCAGGGCTCCCATTTAGAGACAGGTGTATGTTCCACTTAGGAAACAGGTCTGCTCTGCTGAGGGGACAGGTATGCTCCAGAAGGTCTTAGGCTAGGAGACAGGAGGGCTTCAGATGGGTGGCAGAAAATTTCCCTATTGAGAGACCAGGGCATGGGCTTGTGCTACAGGGAGCATCAAGTGCCACTGTGCACTCACAAGGCTAAAACCTGGAGTTGCATTGGCTGCAAAGAGCAACATATGAACCTTATTGTGTCAAGGATTGAAGGTCTACATTCTAGGCTGAGAGCAAAATGTGTTGATCTCCATGTGCATGTTAACTAATCACATTCACATGTGTATCTGTAAACCACTATGATATCCCTTTAAGACGGTAAATTCACTTTAGTGAAAGAATGTACATTATAATGCAAGCTAAAAATGGGTGCAATCACCCAGTAGATTAAACATTTTGCATATATTCTGTATTATTTGTGCTGTTTGTATTTTTAGTATTGCCAGTAATGCAAATTTCCGGGAAAGTATTATTTCATCAACAATTTTATTATTAACCTATTACCATTAACATCTAGCAATTGGCTGATGCCCTACTTACTACTTAGATAGAAAAACGTATATAACTAAAATGTTTTATGTCATCTGCAACAAACTCATTTTTTACTGCTTACATTTTTGCAGCATGAGGACAGAAATTAATGATGCAATTAAAATTTTGCATGTTTTTATTATGTTTGCTCATTGTAAACATTCTCCAAGCTCAGTATAAAAAGTATTTTATGAATGCAATATATCAGAGCAAGTGGCACCATTCTTATAAAGTTACAACAATAAAAAGTCCTTTTTAACAATATCAAATTAAATTTTTGCAGCTATATATACACCAATAAAAACTATATATATATCAGTCTAATTATTTTAAAGGGACTGCCTGCTGCCTCACTTTCTGAGCCCTGATTCTGCCATTGTATAAATGATGCCCTTGACTGATGGTTTGGTTAATTTTTCACATGAAGACTTGGAACGAGAAGCCTAGGAATGTTTTGAGAATCCCAACCAAATCAAAATCAGACAAGATTCCCATAAGGGTATGATAATTAGATTATTTGTTTCAATTACTTTCAGATTTTTGCTTGTGATTAGGATTACAGTGATGTTTAGGTTTTCTTGTATAGGTTCCTGATGGGTTCTGGGCACTCCTTTTCAAGGTTTGTTTCTAGATCTTAACAGGCTAAGGGGCCTAGTCACAGGAGTTAGCTTACATTAATTAAAAATATAATAATAATAGTAATAATAATAATAGATTTATATATTGTACGTGATTTACATATATGTCTGATATGAGGATAAACTCTAACCATTAGTAGCAAAACGCTTCTATCAAAGTGAGCAGGCCAAGCAATATATCAGGTTAATTGCTTCATGTCCTCCCTCTCTTAATTTCACACATATAAAATCAGTAATCTTTTAGCCCAGGAAATAGAATTCACCATTATTATATTCAAAAAAATATATATTCGCTAATTTACTACACCTCAACAGCACTCCCCACCCCCTCTATCCCAGTGTTTTTTTCAGTATGTTGTGTGGATGGCCAGATGCAAAATACACATTTGCTTTGCTCTCTTTTCATGTTCTATTGCGTAGTAAAACATAAATATTAGACAGGGGCAGCGTGTGTTACTCGTGTAATTGTATTTTAAGAGTAATAAATAAAAGACAGATTGGGAAAACACACACAATTCTAAATACCGTATGTAGCTATACGCATGGGATATAAAATGTAATGTAGTAGATTAGAACTCTGCATAGCTATCCAGCACTCTGTTAGAGGGATCTAACTTCCTTTCCTGTATTGCTGACAATGGTTTTAACCAAGGAAGAAGTGAGGGAAAGTCTGAATCAAAGACAGAAATACAGATCTGACAGAGGCTCTAGAATTCCCCTACTCTAATGAATAAAAGCTTTTTTTGTGTTTTTCTTGCTATTGAAGAGTTGTCCTCACTTACAGTCTGATGAAACATTGTCAGCAGGACAAAGCCCTAAATATTGGTAAAAACCTTACAGCAGTTCTAACCCTTCCTCACTATCTAAAGCTAAGAAAAAAAAAGTTTTGTATGGACATATACTTTAGAGGAAGGTCACATATGAAGGGAGTGTTTTTCCATGTTTCTAATGGTTTTCAGCAATTACAGTATCAGTCTACCAAAATAGAAAGGTTGAATTAATTTACTGTGCATTTCTTCTAGTTTATGATTGATGTCGCTTTCCAAATGATAAACCAAATATCCCAATGATATAATGTCAGTTTAAGAGTTCCATGATCATATTTATTTACACTGAGAACTTTGATGATATCCAGTGAAGATGAATGCCAGATTAGAAGTCAGAAAATTGTAAACTACAGTGATTTAAAAGGGAAGTAAACAAAAGCAGGAGTGTGATTAGATGATTACATGTTTTTCACTAACCCGAGACCTATGTCGCACAAGCTATCCTGTCACTAGTGAGAATTCACCACCAGCAGAATCGCTATACAATACAGGGAGGACACATACCTGCTTTGTATGTGTCACTCTCTCTCTCCTTCTTTGGCAGTGAGGAGACCTTGATACTAAAACATAGCAAAACCTAAATCACTACACTCCTACAGCTAGCGAGGAAGTGACACATGCAAGCAGCTAAGTGTTTTTACTCCCTGCTGTGTCCTACAAAGTAACCCTGCCACTGGCAAGTTTTTGCTAATGACAGGATCACCAGTCTGACATGGCCCTAAATGAGCATTCACTTTACAAATTAATTGATAATTAACAGTCTCTATTCCTTTAATAAATCAACACATGTGTGTGATAATATAATCTCCAACATGAGAAAGTATATATTAATGGTGGCCATACACTAGATGAAAAATCATTGGAAAATGTGTTATTTGGACAGTTTGTTTGTTTTTCGTCCAGTTAATGGTCACAAATCAAAAATCGATTGTAATGCTTTTGAGACAAAAAATCAAAGGAAAAGTTTGGAAAAAGTGTGCCGAAAGGATGATAAATTGAAAGGTTAATGTGTTTCTTGCCAATTAAAAATTGAACTGTTAATACTGATAATGATTTATCATTTGAAATTTGGTCATTATGTATAGGCAATATTGTTTGCTCTTACTACCATGTGTTCATTTTTTCATCAACCCGTTCAAATATTTTTTTGACTAGTGTACAGCTAGCATACCTGTTATCTAAATGCATGTTTAAGCTTGCTATCACTGGCTAGGGACCACATCATAGGCCCCACACAACCTGGCCTGCTCACTTCAATAAAATAAGTGGACGGAGGCTGTCTGGGGAACATATCTTGTGAACCTGGGAGTAATAGCATTATTCTACATCAAATCCAACTCTAGCTGAACTTGGACTAATATACAGCAATAAAAACTTTGTCAGAAGGTATATCTTTTCTCTACTCTACTAAAAGTGAGGGTAAATCTCCATTGTCCAACACAAATAACCAATTCATACTGTTTAAAATCTAAAATGACAAGATTCTGAAGACCCTCTACTCAGCATGGAAATATAACTGCATAAGAGGCAATAATCACCAAAACTGCTATTCTAGTATTGGATTAATACATGTTTAATTGGAACTCTTATTCACCTATTACTTGACAAGCAATCACTGAATATGATCATTGGAGGCAGGGAAGAGAAATAAGTTAGAGTTACACCAGGGGCTGACTGACAAATCATGGGGCCCCGGGCAATAGGGGATCATGGGGCCCCTGTGTCCTTGCCCAAACCCAAAAAAGCCTATGAAAAAGCCAATGAAAGGTACCAGGAGCATCTCATGGGGCCCCCTACTGACCCCGGGCCCTCAGGCAGTACCCGAGTGCTCGAATGGTCAGTCTGCCCCTGAGTTACACTTTAGCATAGTGCTAATCTATCAGCTAGATGGTCCCAGGTGCTTCCATCTTCACCCAGTCTTCTTTCTGGGTTTTGTCTCTTTGCCTGCTTCAATGGCAGGGCCACAATGCTGTCATTCTCATGCAAGCGCATAGGAGTCACATTGCCATGGCACAGATTGATGGCTGTAAATGTATGCTGAGCTGCACATGTGCACATGACAGCTGACAGGCAGGGGTGCATTTATTACAGATGAGACTGATTGGGTTTTTTTCTGTCATAAAAACCCTACATGTCAGCAATTTTTTAAAAATAGAGTTTAATACCACTTAAAAATGCATGATGAGATCCTTTCACAGTATGAGATTTATCTTTGTCCCATATACAGTAAGCAGGTTAATATCTATCCCAATACCACTAGGTGACATGATGAAACCCTTTTACAGGATGAGCATTTGCTTTCTCTTATACTGTATAAATTGACACATTTCTATACTGAACAACAGGGGATGGTGAATTTATTTTAAAGAGCGGCAATTAGTCTTGAAAAGCATCTGCACATGAGCTGGCATTCCAGGTGTACAAGAATATACTTTTCACATTAATGGATAATTGAAGTGAATTTTCACACAATTGTGAGTGAAGATTTTCAGTTCCTTTAATACATCAATATATATATTGTGTGTGTGTATATATATATATATATATATATATATATATATATATATATATATAATCAGGGGCAGTCAAGTCAAACCAGGACTTTTGAGTTTATATAATAAAATAACAAATTTCAAAGAGTGGAAACTGCATTTATTTTATGACATACTCCCCTGCTACATTTATACACATATTCTAGTGTTTAACTAATGCCTGTAAAGCTTCAGCATAGAAATATTTGTCAGTACGCCTGAACCATCCTAAGCCAGCTTGCTTCACTTCATCATCATTGTGTTCATAATTCCCACAGAAAGATTTGTCTCTTGTGCGATTTCACAACAGGTTATGCATTGATTATCCAGGATCAGGGGTTCCACATGCTGAATGTTCACAGGAATGACTTCTGTAGACTGGGAACCACTACGGCTGGGATTGTCACTGATGGATGTACGGCAATCTTTGAAACATTTACATCATTCAAATGTCTTACTGCGGCTGAGCATCTCATCACCGTATGGTGCTTAAAGTCTTCTGTTGACATCTGCATGTTTTATGCCTTCGATCATAAGAAACTATTAATCTGTTATCTAGATCACCACACACTGTTCCACGCATTAACTCTGTCTGCCATCTTGATTAACTCTCTGGAGTTCTCTGGACTGATCTTTGACATGTGTGCCACCTATCAGTAATAGGACACACTTGCCACACCGCCACGCTAGCATTTGTTTTTATACCTGTAAAATTAAAAGTCTCGGTTTGACTTGCCCCTCTTGTGTGCAGGAAATAAACCCCCCCCCCCATAGACACACACCCTCCAAACCACATCAGATAGTGGGTGTGGTCAAGTTTTACTAACTGTGGGAGGGTCTTAAAGGGGCAATAAATACCAGGAGTGTATTATGCACAGAGTTCAGAGTTCGGGGCAGTTACACACAGAGCAGAGTTCAGGGGGTGTGCTATGTGCAGAGTTCCAGGGTGCGCTACAAATATAGTGCAGAATTCAGAGGTGCACAGCATACATAGTGCAGAGTTCAGGGGTGTGCTACACACAGACTGCATCCCCCATCCACATCTCATTTTCACCCCTCCTCAGCTCTGACCTCTGCATGTAAACCCCCTCCACTACCCCCATCTTCTCTCCCCTTCATTAAAAGCTCAAACATCTTCCACATGCCTTACTTTTGTTGCTGTATTAAGCTGAAGCACCCAGCTGGCTCTAGTACCTCCCCGCATACTGTAAGTGGCTTTGCCTCTCTCACTTGCAGGGATATAATCAAGTGGGGGTGTCAGCATTCGCATTGCAGCCTGGGCATCTGAATTTCCCTTGTCCTTTGCACTCAGTGGTGGTCACTCAGAAGATCAGATCTGTGGAAGCCATTGGGAGACAAGCTGTCACGTGTTAACACAGAAGCCGGACTTTTGTGTATACAAGTGACAGTGGTTAGCAGGAGGCAGAGGGCCTGAGCCAGAGGTGGTGGAGCTGAGTTCCACCAAGTTCCAGCTGAAAGCCCAGCTTTATAAACATTGTCAAGGTGCCTGAAAGATCTAGGTGCTCTTAGTACATGGAAGTGTTCTTGAAATCAGCATACAATATGTTGTAGCGATAAAATGGTAATTGTTTACCCTGATTGTGCCACTTTTCACTGAAGGTTAGCTTATAACAATACTGTAGCAAACATTCATGTGAATGTCTGTCTTTTAAAATGATTGTAATGCTGTCATCACATGTTTGAGTCTCCTCATGTCAAGATAGTCAGTTGTCAGTCTTCCCTAAATGTGTCATAAGAAAATAGCAATAGTGAGTTCAGCAGAGAAACTTGTCAAATGTATCCAAATTCATAAGACTCTTCCCTGCATATGAGGCCAATGCAATGTGATGCAATATCCTAATTGCTGACATGCACCATGGTTTTGAGTCTGCAGCTCACAAGGTTAGAAAGAACATTTTGTTTTCAATTTACATCAAGTTTGTTTGCAAGTGATTCTCTAGTGTTTAATTATTTACTCCCTGACAGCAGTACTGATGTATATACACTAATCTAGACCAATGGTTCTCAACCTTAGTGAGACCAGTGCTTGGTAAATTCTCCATAACCTTTCATGCCCTATCTTTAAAAAAGAGTTTATACTCATACAATAAAAGTATGAGAATGCAAAATATGTATTTAAAAAGTAATAGAAAGGTAGTGACATGTAGAAAATATGAGTTACTGTAATTTAAATTGAAGAGACAAATAATTTGTGTCATTGCTTCTAAGCTGTATTTTTGGCAATCACCATATATCAACTGTTATGCCAAAACTTAAAACCCTAATTGGTGGTATTAAAAGAGAAGCAGGAGCAAAGATTTTTTTGGCCATCTTTGTCTTTTGGATCACAGCAGTACACTTACTTTTGTTCTCCTGTGAACTAGAGTCAGCAGATAGTAGGCTATTGCCTGCTATCAGCTGGTGGGACAGAGATGCTGCAGGCTCAAGAAGGTTGCCCAACAATATTGTCAGGATCTACCCAGCTCCCCGCCTGACAGCTTGCTCCACCTTTCAGCACACAGCTGAGAGCCAGAGCCAGCTGCACCCAATCCCTCCCCATCCAATAAGTGATGGAGGAGAAGAGTGCCTGACAATTAATCTGGGACCTTCATACCTGCAGCATCTTTGCACATGTTCAGGGGAATCCCCATAGAGGCCCAGTCATGCTACAAGTTTCTTTAGGGTCAACACATCAGCACATAAGTAGAGCAAGTAGAGTTCGGGAATCACAAACACTTTTAAAAGAACCTTTTTTAATCTAATTGTGAAAGGAGATGTAGGGGGAGGAGCCAGGTAAAAATAATTTGTTTTAATGGGTGAAGGCCTGCTTTAAAGAAAACAGAATATTTTCTCCTTTCCTTGTCATTTAGTTTTCAGTATAGTGTATTGTTGCTTGCTTCTACTTTGCATGTCATGCTTTGCTTTAGGTGTTTCTGTGCCTTACTTTCCAATTTCCTAACATAGCTGTGCACTTCTAGGTCTATCAATAAGGTTTGCTGTGAACCAGGCCAGTGACGCTATGGGACGCATCTCCACTGTCACAGCTGGAAGGACCTGCAATTAGGGGGGGGGTAAGGTAAGTTTCCACTGACATCCTCCCAGCAGCATTGGCATCTAAGGAGCTGGTAGGAGCAAATATTCACCCACAGTGTGGTATGGCAGCAATATCTAACCAAACACATAGGAAGATGCTGCCCAACAGGAGGAAGGCTTGATGGCTGAAACTTGAGAACCACTAATCTTGACTTTGTAAGCATGCATAAAGCTTTAGTCCCCACCTCCAAAGGTTCATTTCCTGGCTCTCCTCAACAAACACTTCATGACATACTTATCAACACACAGAAAACTAGCAATAGTTTTGAGATCAGAAACCTGTACATTAATCTTTGTCAATCTGTTTCATAGTTGTTGCATTTTTACTAGTACACTCATCAGGGGGGCATTATCAGAGACCTAAAGACTCTTAACAGAGTCCTTAATCTCATGTTTACCAATCCCTTCATTTTTTTTTTTTTTTGGTGAAAACAGGAGTACTCAATACTGAACACTCCCATGTCCACTCAAAAACTGAAGTCATAGTAAACATGTAATTAATGTTTACAGATCCCTTCAGTTATGATTGAACATGGCAATACTCAATTCTGAGTACTCCTGTGTTCATTTAGTGCATGTTCACATACAGTATATGTGGATTGAATGCGGTTTGAACCGCATCCAATCTGCATGACATGTGAAATAACATTGCTTCCTATGGTGCCTGTTCACATATGTTCGGTGCACTAGCGGTACGGATTCAGTGCGGTTTTAAAGAGTCATGTACGATTTCTGAGCAGTGCAGTCTGTTTCAGGTGCGGATTACAGGCTATTGACTTCTATGGGAACTGTTTCTAAACCACATATATGTGAACAAGATAAGATCCTGAGCTAATCCTGTCTGGAACCTGATGTATACCTGTGAACAACTACTGTATCAATTAGCTGTAAAACCTGAGCTTCAATCTGCACCACACATGTGTGAATCAGCTCTCAACAAATGAAGGGATCAGTAAACAAGGGAGACATGTTTACAGATCATCTCACTCACCATCATGAACAGATCAAATCCTTCCTATTGTGTGTCTCCATTCCACAACTGCTGTATCTAGATACCAAGTTGTGGAATCAGATTGTGGGCTACTGGGCCAACCAGCCGCAAGCAGTTCTGTTCCTCCATAACTCCTATTTCATTCTGCATATGACACCAGTTAGCCCCTTAACTGACATCGACAAAAATAATTTTAATTAGCACATAATAGATCCAGTGTAAACATCCTTTAAC